TGGCTGGTCTGCATATGGCGACTCGTGTTATTACCTAAACGGTACAGTGGCACAGAACCAGACAGACGCCCGCAAAGTATGCCAGGCAATGGATGGAGACCTCCCAATAATCAAATCAGCCACTGAAGACAAATTCGTATTTGAACTGATAAGAAACAGTGAAACAGTCACAACACTTGGTACCTGGCTTGGGTTAGAGCGAGATAAGAACAAAAGCAAGTCATTCCATTGGATTGATAACACTCCACTGGAAGGGGGCTTTAACAATTGGGTTTACAAGGAACCGAACAACCAAGGCGGTAATGAAGATTGCGTCCATATGTATGGAAAGCGAGTTTGGAACTTTACGAGGCCAGGAAAGTGGAACGACTACCCCTGTAGTTGTTATTTTCAGCTTCGTCATTGCCCTGTTATACTTTGCCAGAAGCCTGCATACTAAGGTAGCCTGCAATGCATTATTATTATTATTATTATTATTATTATTATTATTATTAGTATGCGGAAGAAATTAAAGCTGCTTGTTTATATCCTTCTTACCGTGGTCGCCATCTTTGAATTTTATAACAGGAGGAGATCGAGGAACTGATTCAACATGCAGTTACTCGAACATTGACGGGCAGGAAGAAAACGCTTGCCATACAGGCTTAGACTTAGATAAAAATGTTACGCTGAGATTAAAAGCTGTACATAGCTGGTTGGCTTTTTGGCATTTGCGTTCGAGGTTCCCAATAACCATTTCTCTACTAATTTGTGCAAAACAAACAAATGAACATGCTAACTAAGGGAATGGGTGTGGCTGAGCTTTGTCGAGTTTGAGACCACGAAATTTTCTTATACCTTGCTAAGCGAAAGCCGATTAGCATTAATCCTAGGCTAGCCAGATTTTTTGACAACTTATGTCTCCTAAAAAGCTGTAACTAGGGCTCGGTTTTACTTAAGGACTTAGTTTTGTTAACCCATGATGATTTTTCAGCACGTATATAATAAAGTGAACGTAATCGCAGGTTAAAATTTCTACTCTGGATTGAAGCTTATTGTTAAGGTTAGAAATTTCTTTCTTTCCTCGGTTAATTGATTCGAGGTGTTAATAACAAAGCCAACTGTTATGTAGCCCAGTCTTGCCAGTACTTGCCTTCCGTATCTCCCAGAGGGCAATCAAGTTATTGTCTTGTCATGCCTTTATGTTGACTTTGCCAGCTGTCGTTATGGAAACCATACTAAAAGGAAAATAGAATAATCAAGTACCAAACCAAATATGGTTGTGGCTCCATAAAATGGTTCCTGAAGTCTAACATATACATTTAAACGAGAGATTAAAAAGGCATATTAGTTGAATATTTCTCCAAAAAGTTTAATTTACTAAATTACACCTTGGTTCGTAACATTGTGTTGGTTTTCTTTTCACATGTTCTCAGTTATAGTAAGAAAAACCACGACAAAAAATTAAGTTGTGTTATTTATTTCCTAGGGTTCGTGGCCGGTGTGACTGAAGTACTTGTGTGATGTGAATGATTAACGCTGGCTGTAGAGAGAAGAAGAAAAACAAATATACTGCAGTTGGAAACGCCTAAACAAATTTATTCAAGAACCGAAGAAATTTTATTTTCCCATGTTTTCAGTCTAAATATAGTTTTAGAAAGTAACTTCCGAGTAATGAGCGCTCGAGGATTTCAAGATTTATTGTAATTATTGTAAAACTGTATGTTGTCGCAAAGCAGTGTATATAGCCTCATGTAAGGTAAATCAGATTCCGGAATCTGTGAAATTTTGACTGTGAAATCTGGAAACCTGGGCTTTGGAATCCGGAATCCCGCTGACAATTGAGATCCGGAGTCCAAGTTTCACTAAGGTAGAATCGGGAATTCAGTACCTGAAATTCGGAATTCACCGTGTGGGGTCCAGAATCCAAGACTGTTTTCGATTACCTTTTATAAAATAACTAAGATAGTACGCGCGCTCTGATTGGCTGAGAGGCGTGTTAGCATGAGAGTATGTAAACTTGGTTGTGGCGTCAATATGTTTTGCTTTTCGCGCGCTAATCACGCAAGCACAAATTTGAAAAAGTTTTCAAGTTCAAAACTCGACAAGTTTACTTTATTTACCCGTTCCTGCGTCGGCTGAAACTTGGAAAATCGTTACAAAGAAAGTGTGTCAATTTTTTTCGCTTAAGCTGACATTTTAAGCGAGAAAAGTCCGTATTTTGGAAAGCATCTTTTTGCAAAACAAGAACTGATTACGCATAACTGTCTCGAATTCTCCCAACCCCTCTCGTGTTTATATCAGGCTATGCAAACACGGAAAACGTTTTCTCTTACTTAAATATAAGGCGAAAAGAAATGTTTTGCCTTTACCAGCCACAGTTGTTTAATTATTTTCAACCGTCCCTAGCTTAAAAAAAATATAGAAAAAAGAAAAGCGAAGTTCTTGTTAATAATACGTGTAAACAAAAAAAATTAAATCGTGTAATGCTAAACGGGAACGACAAGGAAAATGGCTTCAAGGCTAACAGATCTAATTAGCAAAGAAAACAAATTGCACGTGCAGCACACTTTTTCTTCTAATTAGCAAAAAACAAATTTGCACGTGCAGCACGCTTTTTTGTCTTTCCCTTGCCGTTGTTTTGCAAGACCTACTACGCTGTTTTGTACGACTAAAACGTCAAACTTCCTAGTTACACATGTTTTTTATGGAGGAATTGTCGTATATGCTTACCCAATATTTTGTTTCCTGTTTTCATGTTCGCTTTTATTATTCAATGCCGCTCATTTTCACCTTGCTGGCCGCTAGCATTTCTCATTTACTCACCGCCGCTTTGAATTTCCATGTTTTTCTTCCTACGAAATTCGTCTCCTTTGTTTTCAATAACTCGCTCTAGCTCTTTCTCTTTTATCCACGTTAGTGTACACATAAAAAATACCGCCGAAAAAGACACGACTATGTTGTTGTGTTTTCTTTCTAAAAGTATGGGCAGCCATGTGATTTCCTTCCAAATAAAACCTTGAGTTCTATTTGGGTTGCCATACCTGTTGATTGAGTTATTTTACATTGGTCTGCCTGTGGTGCGGACGGTCGTTCGCTCTCTCGGCGTACGGTCACGTGATTACCAAAGTTTTTCGGATGGGTAGATTACCACATTTCCATAGCTATGAGGCTCTGCCCATGCGCGGTGCTTTGCACCGCGCATGGAGCTCCGCTATGAATTTTCATTAAACGTTTTAATTCAACGAAATTATTAGTACAATGTTATTTCAAGTAGTTGCAGCGGTCTTTCTTTTCTATGATAAACGCTTGCTAAAAATGTTAATATTTATTTCAAGATCAGTCAAACTTGTTGCTCACAGTGTATTTTCTTAACTAGCGTTTGCCCTTGCAATTTGCTTAAGCTAACGACAATTGGATGATTTAACCTACCACAAACTCTGAATCGAAATTCAAGTCAAATTCTATATATTGCAGAAGTGAATCTTAACTGACTTTTGGCGCATTTTTTGATAATGTTAGCTAATTTAGATCCACTAGGTTGTTTGATTAGCTCGGTAAATATTTGTATTACAAATATTGCCGTGCAAGTATTTGGAGAGTGTATTAAGTAAATGTTTGGATTTTTGTAACTCAATGTCAAACTGACAAAAATGCTTAAAACATTGTGTTCCACAGAAGATTACATTTTGATCAAACCTACAATTCATTGTAACCTTCTGAGATTTATCCACAATCCGGTTGGTAAGAGTACAGGCTGCTTATCATTTACAGACACTCGGTTAAATTCGAAATCTCATCGGACATCAGCTAACAATTGGCCTTATTGAACACGTACAAAGTGTGGCCAGATCAGCCGTAGATATTAATAATGATAATAATAATAATAATAATAATGTGAAGAATTTTTTAATAATAATAATAATAATAATAATTTGAAGGGTAATAATGATAATAATAATAATAATAATAATAATGATAAAAGGATTCGAGAGAGAGACCATATTTTTCTGAAGCGGATCGAGTAGTTTTCCCGCGTCTCAAATCAGGTAAGCACCCTTACTCCGATAGTTATACCTATGTATTTCATATCTGCCTTCCTTCCCTCTGGCTAGTTATGTTGTTAATACACACGTAGCGTTATCTATCACCTGTTCACTCTTACAACACCACCTACAGTTCCGAATTATCATTCGGTGTTGAGTGTTTACCTTTGAATAACATTCTTTACAAATTTAATATCGTCCTTGACAGAGAACTGTAAACTTAGTTTGTAATTTTGTGATCTCGTATCATGATAACTTCCATTGCATCTTCCCGTGTTTTTGTAGTTTTGTCACCTGTAATAATAATAATAATGTGAAGAATTTTTTAATAATAATAATAATAATAATAATGTGAACGATAATAATGATAATAATAATAATAATAATAATAATAATAATAAAAGGATTCGAGAGAGAGACCATATTTTTCTGAAGCGGATCGAGTAGTTTTCCCGCGTCTCAAATCAGGTAAGCACCCTTACTCCGATAGTTATACCTATGTATTTCATACCTGGCTTCCTTCCCTCTGGCTAGTTATGTTGTTAATACACACGTAGCGTTATCTATCACCTGTTCACTCTTACAACACCACCTACAGTTCCGAATTATCATTCGGTGTTGAGTGTTTACCTTTGAATAACATTCTTTACAAATTTAATATCGTCCTTGACAGAGAACTGTAAACTTAGTTTGTAATTTTGTGATCTCGTATCATGATAACTTCCATTGCATCTTCCCGTGTTTTTGTAGTTTTGTCACCTGTAGTTCCTTTGTCTTTCTTTCCTTTATTGACCTGAATTCGAATGAGTGATTGAAATAAAATACAAAAAAAGGTGTCAGTACAACTCCTTTTGATTTAAAATTGTTTACTGCCAAATACTGACTAAAGTATTTTCAATACCCGCTGAAACTTTCTATCACGCATGCCCGTAAATAAACGACAGTAGTTTTGGATATAGAAGTACGCGATAAAAAATGATTTGGTTGCTTCCTTTGTCATTTTACATCGTTGCCACAGTTTTCGCTGCTGATGAACATTCCAGATCTTCTTACTTCAGAACGTTGGAAAACAGGCGCTTAACATCACAAGTGGCCAAAACATTTTCTTCCCCTAGTGTTTTGTCGTGCAGTCATGCGTGCCTCAGAAATACTTGGTGTTCCTCTACAAATTTCAAGAAAGGCACAGGTGGAACAGGAGTATGTGAGTTGATTAAGCATGAGTCCAATTCAACTAACTATAACAACAAACTCATACATCAACCAGGCAACACATATTCAATAATTCTTAAGGTGAGTAAATGCAACATTTTATTTGCGCAATGCCGTGAAAGAATTTTTTTTACTATTAAACTTTTTTCAGTGGCGTATCTAACGGAAAGACAACACGAACAGTAATATTTACAAGCAGACAATAATTTGCTATACAATCCAAATAAAAGGTTTAATAAAAGCTTAAACTTCCGCACGAACTAGTGACATTTGACACGTAAACGGTTTTAACCGTTTCGATGCTGTGTGTTTATTACCAGAAAGCATGATTATGATTCTGAATGGCTAAGGAATAATCTCGGTTAAGTTGAAACTCCGACAATTTCTCCCCTAGAAGGGTACAAGCAAGCGAGAAAACCATTTCCCTTCCTGCCATTTTTCTACATTTAAACTTTTTTTACTGATAGGGTTGTCTGATGACTGGATGCCTAAATGGAGGTTCTTGCTTGTTAGACAAGAAAAAGGAATCGTTTTCATGTTCGTGCAAACTACCATGGAGTGGGCAGAGATGCGAAGAAAAATTGAGTAAGCCTCTAGTACAAAGCGTTTGCACATATTTGTTTTTCTATTTATGTATTCATTTATTTTTTTTTTTTTCATGAGAGAAAAGTCTTGATGTCCTTACTTCAAGCGTTTTAATGCTGGTTTCGTTTCTGTCATTTGTTAGTGAGCTCCCGGGTTGACCCGTTGGAGCAAAATTCCTTAATTATGGCCTCTAACGGATATGCTGCTGGCTAGGGTTTTTTTGATGGTCCCTCTGTCTTGAGAAGAGCATTAAGCAATCGCGAGAAAGTTTTTAAAATAACTCCAAAGCACTTTCAAAATAAGTTACGTTTTCGCTAACGTCCCCTCCCTGATTCGTGAATCACAGGCGCATTGAGAAGGCGAAATAACAGTTGTCATAACATTCTTCTGGCGGCTAAATTGAAATTCGTCTGAACGGTTTCATTAAAAAAATGATGTTATTTTCCCTCTTCTTCTTCTTCTCTTGACTAAGTTTTCTACCAAGCTTTCACAGAAACGCTCGCTATAATGCTGAATGGTCCGTAACGTGAGGCTTCATTCGCCTACCTTAGCTACCATGGGCAAGCCAACTTTTCCAACTTTTCCTTCCAAAACTTGGTGATTCTTTTACATGAGAAATAAAACGTTGGCTCGGCTAGAAGGTTGATCCGCCATTTTCGACCCAGCCGGGTCACATCGGTCAAGGCGAAACAATCAGAGCATGCGCGAGCGTTGTTGTCAGCTCTTGGCTCTGGCAAACGGTCAACTTTTTTCTCATATAAACGCTCGCCAAAAGTGAGTCGGTTGGAAGGATGATCCTCTTTCCCGGGAGACCTTAACTCAACGAGGACTAAGGACATTACTGTATCTCAGCTTCCCTTTTCCACTAGCTTGGAATCATATTACTTTTAATTTTTCCTTTGTGTTTTTTCGCTCAGATTGTCCAGTTGGCTGGTCTGCATTTGGCGACTCGTGTTATTACCTAAACGGTACAGTGGCCCAGAACCAGAGAGACGCCCGCAAAGCATGCCAGGCAATGGATGGAGACCTCCCAATAATTAAATCAGCCACTGAAGACAAATTCGTATTTGAACTGATAAGAAACAGTGAAACAGTTACAACACTTGGTACCTGGCTTGGGTTAGAGCGAGATAAGAACGAAAGCAAGTCATTCCATTGGATTGATAAAACTCCACTGGAAGGGGGCTTTAACAATTGGGTTTACAAGGAACTGAACAACCAAGGCGGTAATGAAGATTGCGTCCATATGTATGGAAAGCGAGTTTGGAACTTTACGAGGCCAGGAAAGTGGAACGACTACCCCTGTAGTTGTTATTTTCAGCTTCGTCATTGCCCTGTTATACTTTGCCAGAAGCCTGCATACTAAGGTAGCCTGCAATGCATTATTATTATTATTATTATTATTATTATTATTATTATTATTATTATTATTATTATTATTATTATTATGCGGAAGAAATTAAAGCTGCTTGTTTATATCCTTCTTACCGTGGTCGCTGTCTTTGAATTTTATAACAGGAGGAGATTGAGGAACTGATTCAACATGCAGTTACTCGAACATTGACGGGCAGGAAGAAAACGCTTGCCATACAGGCTTAGACTTAGATAAAAATGTTACGCTGAGATTAAAAGCTGTACATAGCTGGTTGGCTTTTTGGCATTTGCGGTTCCCAATAACCATTTCTCTACTAGTTTGTGCAAAACAAACAAATGAACATTCTAACTAAGGGAATGGGAGTGGCTGAGCTTTGTCGAGTTTGAGACCACGAAATTTTCTTATACCTTGCTAATCCTAGGCTGGCCAGATTTTTTGACAACTTATGTCTCCTAAAAAGCTGTAACCAGGGCTCGGTTTTACTTAAGGACTTAGTTTTGTTAATATAACCCATGATGATTTTTCAGCACGTATATAATAAAGTGAACGTAATCGCAGGTTAAAATTTCTACTCTGGATTGAAGCTTATTGTTAAGGTTAGAAATTTCTTTCTTTCCTCGATTAATTGATTCGAGGTGTTAATAACAAAGCCAACTGTTATGTAGCCCAGTCTTGCCAGTACTTGCCTTCCGTATCACCCAGAAGGCAATCAAGTTATTGTCTTGTCATGCCTTTATGTTGACTTTGCCAGCTGTCGTTATGGAAACCATACTAAAAGGAAAATAGAATAATCAAGTACCATACCAAATATGGTTGTGGCTCCATAAAATGGTTCCTGAAGTCTAACATATACATTTAAACGAGAGATTAAAAAGGCATATTAGTTGAACATTTCTCCAAAAAGTTTAATTTACTAAATTACACCTTGGTTCGTAACATTGTGTTGGTTTTCTTTTCACATGTTCTCAGTTATAGTAAGAAAAACCACGACAAAAAATTAAGTTGTGTTATTTATTTCCTAGGGTTCGTGGCCGGTGTGACTGAAGTACTTGTGTGATGTGAATGATTAACGCTGGCTGTAGAGAGAAGAAGAAAAACAAATATACTGCAGTTGGAAACGCCTAAACAAATTTATTCAAGAACCGAAGAAATTTTATTTTCCCATGTTTTCAGTCTAAATATAGTTTTAGAAAGTAACTTCCGAGTAATGAGCGCTCGAGGATTTCAAGATTTATTGTAATTATTGTAAAACTGTATGTTGTCGCAAAGCAGTGTATATAGCCTCATGTAAGGTAAATCAGATTCCGGAATCTGTGAAATTTTGACTGTGAAATCTGGAAACCTGGGCTTTGGAATCCGGAATCCCGCTGACAATTGAGATCCGAGTCCAAGTTTCACTAAGGTAGAATCGGGAATTCAGTACCTGAAATTCGGAATTCACCGTGTGGGGTCCAGAATCCAAGACTGTTTTCGATTACCTTTTATAAAATAACTAAGATAGTACGCGCGCTCTGATTGGCTGAGAGGCGTGTTAGCATGAGAGTATGTAAACTTGGTTGTGGCGTCAATATGTTTTGCTTTTCGCGCGCTAATCACGCAAGCACAAATTTGAAAAAGTTTTCAAGTTCAAAACTCGACAAGTTTACTTTATTTACCCGTTCCTGCGTCGGCTGAAACTTGGAAAATCGTTACAAAGAAAGTGTGTCAATTTTTTTTCGCTTAAGCTGACATTTTAAGCGAGAAAAGTCCGTATTTTGGAAAGCATCTTTTTGCAAAACAAGAACTGATTACGCATAACTGTCTCGAATTCTCCCAACCCCTCTCGTGTTTATATCAGGCTATGCAAACACGGAAAACGTTTTCTCTTACTTAAATATAAGGCGAAAAGAAATGTTTTGCCTTTACCAGCCACAGTTGTTTAATTATTTTCAACCGTCCCTAGCTTAAAAAAAATATAGAAAAAAGAAAAGCGAAGTTCTTGTTAATAATACGTGTAAAAAAAAAAAAAATTAAATCGTGTAATGCTAAACGGGAACGACAAGGAAAATGGCTTCAAGGCTAACAGATCTAATTAGCAAAGAAAACAAATTGCACGTGCAGCACACTTTTTTCTTCTAATTAGCAAAAAACAAATTTGCACGTGCAGCACGCTTTTTTTTGTCTTTCCCTTGCCGTTGTTTTGCAAGACCTACTACGCTGTTTTGTACGACTAAAACGTCAAACTTCCTAGTTACACATGTTTTTATGGAGGAATTGTCGTATATGCTTACCCAATATTTTGTTTCCTGTTTTCATGTTCGCTTTTATTATTCAATGCCGCTCATTTTCACCTTGCTGGCCGCTAGCATTTCTCATTTACTCACCGCCGCTTTGAATTTCCATGTTTTTCTTCCTACGAAATTCGTCTCCTTTGTTTTCAATAACTCGCTCTAGCTCTTTCTCTTTTATCCACGTTAGTGTACACATAAAAAATACCGCCGAAAAAGACACGACTATGTTGTTGTGTTTTCTTTCTAAAAGTATGGGCAGCCATGTGATTTCCTTCCAAATAAAACCTTGAGTTCTATTTGGGTTGCCATACCTGTTGATTGAGTTATTTTACATTGGTCTGCCTGTGGTGCGGACGGTCGTTCGCTCTCTCGGCGTACGGTCACGTGATTACCAAAGTTTTTCGGATGGGTAGATTACCACATTTCCATAGCTATGAGGCTCTGCCCATGCGCGGTGCTTTGCACCGCGCATGGAGCTCCGCTATGAATTTTCATTAAACGTTTTAATTCAACGAAATTATTAGTACAATGTTATTTCAAGTAGTTGCAGCGGTCTTTCTTTTCTATGATAAACGCTTGCTAAAAATGTTAATATTTATTTCAAGATCAGTCAAACTTGTTGCTCACAGTGTATTTTCTTAACTAGCGTTTGCCCTTGCAATTTGCTTAAGCTAACGACAATTGGATGATTTAACCTACCACAAACTCTGAATCGAAATTCAAGTCAAATTCTATATATTGCAGAAGTGAATCTTAACTGACTTTTGGCGCATTTTTTGATAATGTTAGCTAATTTAGATCCACTAGGTTGTTTGATTAGCTCGGTAAATATTTGTATTACAAATATTGCCGTGCAAGTATTTGGAGAGTGTATTAAGTAAATGTTTGGATTTTTGTAACTCAATGTCAAACTGACAAAAATGCTTAAAACATTGTGTTCCACAGAAGATTACATTTTGATCAAACCTACAATTCATTGTAACCTTCTGAGATTTATCCACAATCCGGTTGGTAAGAGTACAGGCTGCTTATCATTTACAGACACTCGGTTAAATTCGAAATCTCATCGGACATCAGCTAACAATTGGCCTTATTGAACACGTACAAAAAGTGTGGCCAGATCAGCCGTAGATATTAATAATGATAATAATAATAATAATAATAATGTGAAGAATTTTTAATAATAATAATAATAATAATAATTTGAAGGGTAATAATGATAATAATAATAATAATAATAATAATGATAAAAGGATTCGAGAGAGAGACCATATTTTTCTGAAGCGGATCGAGTAGTTTTCCCCGCGTCTCAAATCAGGTAAGCACCCTTACTCCGATAGTTATACCTATGTATTTCATATCTGCCTTCCTTCCCTCTGGCTAGTTATGTTGTTAATACACACGTAGCGTTATCTATCACCTGTTCACTCTTACAAACCACCTACAGTTCCGAATTATCATTCGGTGTTGAGTGTTTACCTTTGAATAACATTCTTTACAAATTTAATATCGTCCTTGACAGAGAACTGTAAACTTAGTTTGTAATTTTGTGATCTCGTATCATGATAACTTCCATTGCATCTTCCCGTGTTTTTGTAGTTTTGTCACCTGTAATAATAATAATAATGAAGATTTTTTTTAATAATAATAATAATAATGTAACGATGAATGATAATAATAATAATAATAATAATAATAATAATAAAAGGATTCGAGAGAGAGACCATATTTTTCTGAAGCGGATCGAGTAGTTTTCCCGCGTCTCAAATCAGGTAAGCACCCTTACTCCGATAGTTATACCTATGTATTTCATATCTGGCTTCCTTCCCTCTGGCTAGTTATGTTGTTAATACACACGTAGCGTTATCTATCACCTGTTCACTCTTACAACACCACCTACAGTTCCGAATTATCATTCGGTGTTGAGTGTTTACCTTTCAATAACATTCTTTACAAATCTAATATCGTCCTTGACAGAGAACTGTAAACTTAGTTTGTAATTTTGTGATCTCGTATCATGATAACTTCCATTGCATCTTCCTGCGTTTTTGTAGTTTTTTTCACCTGTAGTTCTTTTGTCTTTCTTTCCTTTATTGACCTGAATTCGAATGAGTGATTGAAATAAAATACAAAAAAAGGTGTCAGTGCAACTCCTTTTCACTTAAAATTGTTTACTTCCAAATACTGACTAAAGTATTTTCAATACCCGCTGAAACTTTCTATCACGCATGCCCGTAAATAAACGACAGTAGTTTTGGATATAGAAGTACGCGATAAAAAATGATTTGGTTGCTTGCTTTGTCATTTTACATCGTTGCCACAGTTTTCGCTGCTGATGAACATTGCAGATCTTCTTACTTCAGAACGGTGGAAAACAGGCGCTTAACATCACAAGTGGCCAAAACATTTTCTTCCCCTAGTGTTTTGTCGTGCAGTCATGCGTGCCTCACAAATACTTGGTGTTCCTCTACAAATTTCAAGAAAGGGACAGGTGGAACAGGAGTATGTGAGTTGATTAAGCATGAGTCCAATTCAACTAACTATAACAACAAACTCATACATCAACCAGGCAACACATATACAATAATTCTCAAGGTGAGTAAATGCAGCATTTTATTTGCGCAATGCCGTGAAAGAAATTTTTTTACTATTAAACTTTTTTCAGTGGCGTATCTAACGGAAAGACAAGACGAACAGTAATATTTACAAGCAGACAATAATTTGCTATACAATCCAAATAAAAGCTTTAATAAAAGCTTAAACTTCCGCACGAACTAGTGACATTTGACACGTAAACGGTTTTAACCGTTTCGATGCTGTGTGTTTATTACCAGAAAGCATGATTATGATTCTGAATGGCTAAGGAATAATCACAGTTAAGTTGAAACTCCGACAATTTCTCCCCTAGAAGGGTACAAACAAGCGAGAAAACGATTTCCCTTCCTGCCATTTTTCTAAATTTAAACTTTTTTTACTGATAGGGTTGTCTGATGACTGGATGCCTAAATGCAGGTTCTTGCTTGTTAGACAAGAAAAAGGAATCGTTTTCATGTTCGTGCAAACTACCATGGCGTGGGCAGAGATGCGAAGAAAAATTGAGTAAGGCTCTAGTACAAAGCTTTTGCACATATTTGTTTTTCTGTTTATGTATTCATTTATTCTTTTTTTCTTCATGAGAGAAAAGTCTTGATGTCCTTACTTCAAATGTTTAATGCTGGTTTCGTTTCTATCATTTGTTACTGAGCTCCCGGGTTGACCCGTTGGAGCAAAATTCCTTAATTATGGCCTCTAACGGATATGCTGCTGGCTAGGGTTTTTTTAATGGTCCCTCTGTCTTGAGAAGAGCATTAAACAATCGCGAGAAAGTTTTAAAATAACTCCAAAGCACTTTCAAAATAAGTTAGTTTTCGCTAACGTCGCCTCCCTGATTCGTGAATCACAGGCGCATTCAGAAGGCGAAATAACAGTTGTCATAACATTCTTCTGGTGGCTAAACTGAAATTCGTCTGAACGGTTCCATTAAAAAAATGGTGTTATTTTCCCTCTTCTTCTTCTTCTCTTGACTAAGTTTTCTACCAAGCTTTCACAGAAACGCTCGCTATAATGCTGAATGGTCCGTAACGTGAGGCTTCATTCGCCTACCTTAGCTACCATGGGCAAGCCAACTTTTCCAACTTTTCCTTCCAAAACTTGGTGATTCTTTTACATGAGAAATAAAACGTTGGCTCGGCTAGAAGGTTGATCCGCCATTTTTGACCCAGCCGGATCATAAGGCGAAACAATCAGAGCATGCGCGAGCGTTGTTGTCAGCTCTTGGCTCTGGCAAACGGTCAACTTTTTTCTCATATAAACGCTCGCCAAAAGTGAGTCGGTTGGAAGGATGATCCTCTTTCCCGGGAGACCTTAACTCAACGAGGACTAAGGACATTACTGTATCTCAGCTTCCATTTTCCACTGGCTTGGAGTCATATTACCTTTAATTTTTCCTTTGTTTTTTTTCGCTCAGATTGTCCAGTTGGCTGGTCTGCATTTGGCGACTCGTGTTATTACCTAAACGGTAGAGTGGCACAGAACCAGAGAGACGCCCGCAAAGCATGCCAGGCAATGGATGGAGACCTCCCAATAATCAAATCAGCCACTGAAGACAAATTCGTATTTGAACTGATAAGAAACAGTGAAACAGTCACAATACTTGGTACCTGGCTTGGGTTAGAGCGAGATAAGAACAAAAGCAAGTCATTCCATTGGATTGATAACACTCCACTGGAAGGGGGCTTTAACAATTGGGTTTACAAGGAACCGAACAACCAAGGCGGTAATGAAGACTGCGTCCATATGTATGGAAAGCGAGGTTGGAACAGTACGAAGCCAGGAAAGTGGAACGACTACCCCTGTAGTTGTTATCATAGGCTTCCTCGTTGCCCTGTTATACTTTGCCAGAAGCCTGCATACTAAGGTAGCCTGCAATGCATCACTATTATTGTTGTTATTATTATTATTATTATTATTATTATTATTATTATTATTATTATTATGTGTACATAGCTGGTGTGGCTTTTTGGCATTTGCGATAGAGGTTCCCAATAACCATATCTCAACTAATTTGTGCAAAACAAACAAATGAATATTCTTACTAAGGGGATGAGTGTGGATGAGCTTTGTCGAGTTTGAGACCACGAAATTTTCTTATACCTTACTAAGCGAAAGCCGATTAGCATTAATCCCGGACTAGCCAGATTTTTTGACAACTTGTGTCTCCTAGAAAGATGTAATCAGGGCTCGGTTTTATTTAAAGACCTAGTTTTGTTACGCCATAATGATTTTTCAGCACGGCTATAATGAAGTGAACGCAATCGCAGGTTAAAATTTCTACTCTGGATTAGTGCTTATTGTTCCTCGCGGGGAGCTGGGCCCCGGAGTCAATTCAGTTGTTTAAAGACATGAGAAATTTGAAATTGTAGTTATTATTTGAGAGTTCAAAGCAATAGCAAAGTTTGTGAACTGCACTGTACATTGTTTGCTGATTTTATCCATGCGATGTGGAAAGACAGATAATGGACGTATTTTAGAAGTAAACATAACGAGAAATTTCCAGTGTGCTGTAGTAACATTGAACGTTTAATTTTATTGAGTCAGCTTTTAGATTTGTGGACTTTTTTCCCCCATGTCTAACATTGTCCAGAAATAAAATTAAAATTAAAGGAGAATTCCACCATAACGCGAAAACTGTTCAGTATCTGTGGGACAACATTGTTTATACTACTACATGAGAAATTTCTGCAATTTGATTGGCTTAGAGCAGTGGTATTTCCGCTTAATTTGAAATACCTACATGTGAAAATTACAAAGCTTTTGGGGGTAGTAGTAGTAGTATAAACAAATAATAGCATGATTTGTAAGTGATATTTGGCAAAAATACCACTCGTAATATTTCAAAATCATTTCAAATTTCACTCCCTAACGGCTCGTGAAATTAGGTATAACAATTTCGAAATATTACTCGTGGTATTTATGCCAAATAGCACTACAAATCAGGCTATTCCCTATACTAACACAAATCAGGCAATTTTGAAATTCCCTTGTGTAGCATTCAAAGACCTGGACGCTACCGAACCTTTAATATAATCCGCTCGTTCTGTTACGTTAAAAGTGTCAGTAGTGAGTCTGTACTCTGATGGATCATAGGCACGTGTCATAAATAATCTGTAAAAATTGTCATAGAGAATTGCTCTAGACCAGACAATTTTAGCTTTCAAGCAATGAGCGCTTGAGATTTCGATGTTGTTATTGTAAAACTGCATGTTGTTACAAAGGCGTGTTTTACTTTAAATCACCTGAATTTTCAGGATAATTTTATTTAAACGACATGATTGGTCTACATTAGTTATTATGACAAGCAACCTTAGTCTTGACAGTTTGTTTTACTAAATAAACTTCTCAGTTTATTTCACTTTGGCGTGGTGATTTTTTTAAAACTTAAACCTAATAATTAAATTTAGCCTGTAATTTTTTTTAATTTACATCTAATCTAAATCTGCATCCAAATCCTCTCAAAGAAGTGAATGCTAGTTGACATTTGACGCATTTTGTGGTAATTTTTAGCTAAAATGGCTTCACTAGTTTGTATGAACAGCTTTGAAAATTTTAATTGAAATTTTGAATCGCAAAATTATTATGCAAATATTAAGAGAGTATGACGCTGAATGTTTGGACTTCTGTAGATTCAGTCATCAAAACAAAAGTGTTTTGGAGGAGAAGTTAAATTATGTCCAACCAGCAAATTATAAAAAGCCCCTAGGAAATTATCCATATTTCCGATATTTATGGAGACATGGTGCTTACTATTTTATATTAGTAAAATCCAACTAGTGGTCTATTACCAATGATGCATTCTGATTAGTTGAGCTACTTCTAGGCTATACGTTATAGCCCACCAGTAGCGCAAAGCGCCTGCCGGCTTTTTGGCGGCAAAAAAGGCTTTAAGTCTAGCTTTCACTAGCTAAAGTTGTTTTGTCTCGATATTTTTGACCAACTAGTTGGATTTTACTAAAGCAATTATTCCTCTCACCCTCATGGCCTCTGACTCAATAGCCCATGAGTCTTTTCGGGCTCGAGGAATAATTGTTAAGTTGCCTTTGATTTTCCTATCCAGAAACTTCCAATTTGCCTGTAGAAGGCTATGTTTACACCGGATAGCTTTGGCGTGGACACGAAAACAATACGGTGATTTCGGCGCGATTTCTATAACAGAGCGAGGCTAAGCCGCGCCGATTTTAAAGTGGATAGTTAGATATCGGATAGGTGTTCATACTATAACGGATAGCTTCTCGTGTCAGCACGAAAAGCTATGCAGGATAGTTTAAACGTAGTATACTTAAGAGTGAACTTCGCTCCAGCCAGGTTATCAATCTAAACAAAGCGTTTTTTATCACCTGTTTAGCCTTAGAAAACCCCCCTACACTTCTGCCGGGCTTAGTCTTTGAAGGTCCTGCTGTAGGTCTTGATTATTTACCTCAGTCATAACAATCGTAATCCTTTCAATTCCGCCCTTGACAGGGAACCGCATAATTAGTTCGTAATTTCGTAATTTGTATTATGATGAAGCTTTTTTCCCATTTTTATTTTCTGTTATGGTTAAAAGTTTTGTTTTATTTTTCTACCTTTCTTGTCTTCAATCCAGTAAATGCGTGACTTTGAGTTACGCTCTCCCCCCTCAATTATTTGCGTACAGAGAATATTGAAATTTGTCTTTGTTATGTCGTGCAAACAAATAAATGAATGAAAAGATTAAAATAAGTGAATTTATAAATAAAGTAAAGGTAAACACGCCAGTAGAACTTCTTTTAATTTTTTTTTATGCCAAGTACTCTTCTCGAATATTAATAGTGCCTCACGAAATAATGCTTCCCGTTACGCATGCTCCATAAGTTAAGGACGTACGTTTCGATTGTTGTAGTATAGGCGACAAAATGATTTCGTTACTTACTTTTTGCTACCTCGCTGTCACAGTTTTCGCTGACGACGAACCTTCCAGATCTTCCTACTTCATAAATGCGGAAAATAGGCGCTTAGTAGCACAAGTGACCAAAAGACTTTATTCTGCTAGTGCTTTGTCGTGCAGTCATGCTTGTCTTAAGAATCCCTGGTGTTTCTCTACAAATTTTAAGTACGGAACAAGTGGCAGCAAAGGAGTATGTGAGTTGATTAAGGCTTCAGAGTCAACTAAGGATAACAAAAAACTCATATTTTATCAACCAGGCAACACATTTACAGTGATTCTTAAGGTGAGTATTGCAGTATTCGTTTGCGCAATAGGGAGCTTCAGCAACGACGACTTCGATGTCAACGAGAGGCGCTAAAAAGCAATATAGGTTTAGATTGGCAAAACAACAACTTTGCACATGCAGCACGCTCTTTTGTGCCTTTCTTTGCCGCCGTTGCACGACTACGACGTGAATCTTCCTAATTTCACGTTTATGGAAGACATACGTGAACACAAGACAACGATTTTCTTTCTCTTTTTGTGGACTTAGAAACAGCCCCTTAGACTTCAACTCTTGAAAACAATCGCCAACAATTGACAAATTAAAAGAGTTGGAATAAGGGCGATGAACAAGTTTGAAGCAGCGCAAATTCACTTTTTGAGTGACATCCTGCCGTTGCTGTCGTCATTGCTCGAGCTCCCTAATGATGAGACAGGAATGCCTTTGTATCTTGTTCATTTTCATACTTAAACTGAAAAAGAAGGAGACTAGGCATTGATATCTGCAGGTAGTCAATTATTTGTTATACAATCTAAATACAAGGCATGTACCAAAGCTTTTCAAATTTACAGCTCGGGTTAGTTTTTATCGCATTTTAGATTTTCTCGACGAAAATGTGTTTAGGCTTCCTTTTCGTTCATGATTACAATTTAATTAAACTGACTCTGAATCTCAGTTTTTTGTATTAGCCCCGTATTGAGCGAAAGCAACTTCTTTTTTTGCACATGTGGTCGGTAAAAATTCGAATACGGCTGATATTAGTAAGGTATAATCAAGTTAAAAATGATCTCCGTGACAGTTTTTTTTTGTTTATATAAAAAGGTAAACTATCGCTTGAAGTTAACTGTCATTTACCGCAACGAGTTTGCGATATCGAAGCTTGGAGTGACTCTTGTTTATTACCGGAAAGTGTTATTATTGTTATGTCGAATGGCTAAGTAACGATTGAAGTTAAATTTAAAGACTCCGGGAATTTCTCCCCACATTAACCCGTTGTTTGGCGAAAGCAGACATGCTTTCTTGGAATAAAGATTAAAAATATCGTGCATTTTGGATACAAGGAATCGAGAAAACGATTTATTTTGCTTTCAATTTTAATAATCCACTTTCTGCTTATAGGGTTGTCTGATGACTGGTTGCCTAAATGGAGGATCTTGCTTGTTAGACAAGATAAAGGAAACGTTTGTCTGCTGGACAAAGATGCGAAGTAAACTCGAGTGAACCTTTACTTAGTTTTCGGGTTTTCTGTTTTATTATTATTAATTCAATCTTTTTTCATGACCAAAAAAAATTTTTACATAACAAAAAAAATTTTTTATGTCGTTACTTCAAGCTTTTTAATGCTGATTTTATTTCTTATATTTGTTACCAAGCTCCCGGGTCGACCCGTTCGCGACGCTTCCTTATATGGCCTCCAGTGCCGCATATGTTCCTGGGAGGGTTTGAATTTTAGCTCTTTTGTCTTGAACAGGATATTGGAATTATCACGAAAACGCTTCACAAGGACACGAAAGCACTTAGCAAGTGACATTTTTGCAACTAGGGAGTTCATGACGCCACGACAGCGAGGACAACGAGAACGGCAAAAAGACAATAGGCTGAATAGGCAAAACAACAACTCGCTTTAATTTTTGTTCATTTCGATTTTTTTTGCCGTCTATGCACGACTACGACGAATTACTACGACGTGAGACTTGGCTTGCATTAAAATAATTAAGCGAGCTGGAATAATCGCGATAGAGATTGAAAAATTAGGAATTCAGTATTTAAGGGACGTTTTCGTGTCCGTCGCCGTTCTTGCTATCCTAAACTCCCTAGTATCGCCTCCATGAAGCGTCTTTCAAGCTCTCCTCAAGATGGAGCCAAAGTAACGATTGAGGAGAGAGGAGGAGTTTTTCTATCCCCTATTCTTCTCCCGGCCAAATTTTCTGCTTAGCTTTCAAAGAGTCGCTTCCTAAGGGGTCCTTTGCTATCAAATAATTTTACAGTAGAACCCCGGTAACTCGAACTCTGAAGAGAAACGAAAAACAGTTCGAGTTAGCGGAGAATTCGAGTTATCGGAGAAAATTTCAGTGAAATTTTGATCAAGGGAGAGGAAATTTAGTTCGAGTTAGCGGGGAATTCGAGTTATCCCAGTTCGAGTTATTGAGGTACTACTGTATTTCTGTGGCTCCGATACCATTTTTCATTGCCTTGAAGTTATCTTTCGTTATTGTTTACTTCTTCTCGCTTCAAGGATGTCCATCTGGCTGGGTTACATTTGGTGATTCATGCTTTTACCTGAACGGTACAGAACAACAAGTCCAGAGCGACGCGCACAAGGCATGCCAGACTATGGGTGGAGACCTCCCAATAATCAAATCAGCCGCTGCAGACAAATTTATATTCGAACTTATAAAAAATGGTAATACAGTCACACCATTTGGTGCGTGGCTTGGGTTAGAACGAGTTATGGTTAACGCAACCAAGTTCCGTTGGATTGACGGTACTCCACTGGAGGGAAAGTATGAGAATTGGTTTGACAGGGAACCTAACAACCAAGGCTTTAATGAAGATTGTGTCAATATGTTTGGGAAGTCAATTGACAACAGAACGAGCTCGAAGGCAGAAGGGAAGTGGAATGACCATAATAGTCTAAACCTTTGCCCTGTTGTTCTTTGCCAGAGGCCTTTACGGCCATGATAAGTAAATACTGTTAATTGAACTTCGATTCGTGCAATTGGACGAGCGCGCTGCGCAAGTTCGATTTGAAATCACAAAAATATGATTTTAGACCATTGCACAACAAGAAGTTAATGACCAATTTATTACAGCCATTTTAAAATCGCAGAATTCAGTCATTACCAATATTTATTTGATCGAATAGGGGAAACAGAAAGGCCATTACATTTCACCTTGTACCCGAAACAGATGCAATATAGAGCAAAAATTGTACTTTTTAAAACAGAAATGATGCCATTTTAAACAGATGTGATTTGCAGCAGAAAATAATGTGATTGATGAATAAATCACACTACTGACAGCCAATCAAATTGCAGGGATCACCAGTGATTTCAAAATGGATATAAAGATGTAGTGTCAGAGAGCAAAACCTTAAGATAAAGTCAGCTTGCTATAAATTCATGTAATCAGATGTTCAATCGGTGTTGTTATTACACAGTTGAGGCCGGCTCTGCGAACACCTCTTTTAATACGGACACCCGTGTATATAGCGGACAGTTTTGTTTATTTCAACGAAATGCTAACATCTATCTCTAAAATTAACCCGCTTTGTACGGTTACTGGTTAGCACGGATTACGGATACTTTTTTTCGTCAAACCCGCTTTCGGACACTGGTTATCTGGGCGTTGACTAATTTCATTGTGTGCTAATTGCAAACACTGTACCCTGTTTAAGTAACGAAAGATTTCTACCGGTTAGTACGTCTTTCTTCCGGTGTTTGACCCCTATACTGTGGTCCTTTAATAAAGTTTTTTGCCTCCTAATACACAAGTTTCACTTCCTTGGTTTTTTGCTTCAGTTACTGCTCCTTTATATCTTTAGCTAGATAGATAAAAAATGTGTCCCTCTAAAGCATGTTGAGGCATGAGCTGAGCTTATACAAAATCTTATAATGATCATAAGTTTGTGAAAATTTACCAGAACGTTCTATTAAGCAACCTCGAAAAAATCAGTAACCTTAATTTGCGTGTTTCGTAAGAAACCAGATATTTCTGTCACGTAACCAGTTATGGTAAAGTCAAGGAAAGAAGAGAAAACTAAAAGTGATGTCACACAGTAAATATCAAATGAAGTATTTTTGTTATTGTATCATTGTTCCTCGCATGAATCTAACCGGAATGGTTGACTTGCATTTTTATTAATTAATGATTAAGCAAAATAAGATTAAGACACATGACCCTATCATCTGTGAATGTCTGTTCATCGGATGAATTAAAAAAATTACAGTAAAAACCCACGAGTAAGAACATACATTTTCCAGGGTTAGCCTAAACAGGTTCTTACATAAATGGTGGTGGACATAAATTTAGGCTATCTAGGTTCTTAGCAGGTTCTTAATTTCTTGCAAAAAAATTATGTCGTTGCTAAGAAGATTTTAGTGATCAGCACCCTTAAATTTGCATACCTAATTATTGCTTATATATTAATATGACCATAATAGAGATCTATTCTCACATGAATTTTAGTTTCATGAGTCAAAACAACTTTATATACATGATTGTGCTGTAAAACACAATATTATAAACATTTTCTCAATGACCTCAATCAAACAACATTTATATAATTATGTACTAACTTGCCTTTTGCAATTGCAATTAGTAAATATTTTTAAATGATTTTTTAAAATAATAACCTTTCTCCAAATTTTAGGCTACGGAGGTTTTTATCTAGAGGGGGTCTAAATTGCAAACTTTAGCCCAACAGGTTCTTAAATCTTAGGTTCTTACTCGTGGGTTTTTACTATATCTCCGTTCTTGCCAAGGAAAAAATTTCGTACAGTAAAATAACCACTTACACATTTTTCCAATTTAGCTGTAGTCAACCTTAGAATCTTTTTGGAATATCATTATGACGTCACGTTTCATGGGACCAGATCAGTTCAATCCTAAATGAATTCAACGCCTCGAAAGGGAGCTTTCCGGAAGATTTTACCGACTTTTTGAATTAAAATGCATGGTTGTAGAATAAAAACTGCTTTATCTTCGCGCGGGGTCGAGACCACAAGTTGAGCCATGCCTTAACATACATGAGGTTGCTTGTGGTAATGCTTTTTCTGAGAGTCCACTTAATACGGACAACCGGGTCATGCACACTTTGGCATGTCCCTTGGTGCATGTCCTTATTAACCGGGCTCCACTATAGCGTATCATTAAGCGGAAGGTAGCTAAATTGCATACTATGGTAGCCTACAATCCAGGCGTATTTATTATTATTATTATATTATTATTATTTTTATTATTATCATTATCATTATTATATATTATTATTATTATTAAATCAATAGATTTTGGCTACGCTCACACCGCACGAGACAAATTTTCTAAAGGTTGAAAATTCAAACGTTTCCACGGAAGCACCTTAAACGTACGAAAAGTTAAACTTCCATTCGTTCGAAGCTAAGTGTCTACACTGCATCAAATTCAAAACAACCTCAAAATTATTTGTAATCAAATAGGTCTCGGCATAAGCAGCGTTTAGTTTATATGTGGTTTGCAAATTTAATCTTCTATTTAGCTTTTCCCATTCATTTTACAGTCCTTTCCAACTAAGACTTGTCGTAATTATGTAAACCGTGAAAACTATATTTTTTGAGCCGGTTAGAGACTCCAACAGAGAAATTAAATGCTGCTAGGAATTCCTAAAACTACATATGAAATGGTTGTTCTGAAATAAATTCAATATTTTGGCTCAATACACTGTCTTTTTTCCGACTTGTCACGTTCTTAAAACATGGTTCGAGATATCGAAATTATATACAAATGACTAAAGGGAAATAAAAATTACTTCGAGATAGAGGTTCGAGTTATTGAGGGTTCGAGTTACCGAGGATAAAATTACCGTAAATGTATGAAGGAAATCCATGGGAAATCGACTTTGGTTTGAGTTAGCGCGAGGTTCGAGTTAGCCAAGGTTCGAGTTAGTGGGAGTCAACTGTAAACGTATGAAGAAAATTCAGGGGAAATCGACTTTGGTTCGTGCTAGCGCGATGCTCGAGTTAGAGGGAGTCAGCTGTACTGCGTATGTATCGTCCCCAACTATCTTGGGTGGCCAGTGCTGCTGCATGGATCGACGACTTTTGAGCTGACTTTGTGGCCACTTCTCTTAAGCGATGTCGTTCTGGTTAGAAGCTTGACGAACTCCAATCCGCCGGAACATTTTCTTCACCGTACTACGGAATTCTCTTTTGCGGATGGAATAGATAATCGGGTTGCATATTGTGCTGAAGAAGAAAATACATGCAGTGGCAAGATCTGCCTCGCCTGGAACATCGATTCCTGGGACGAACAGGCGACAAATGCCTGTAACCCAGAAGGGAAGAAAGCACACCAAAAACGCCGCAATGATAATAGTGACATCGACAGCGGCCTTGCGATCTCTTAGTCGTCTCGATACCATCTCTTGCTGTTGAGTGATTTCAGCATCAACAGGGCCACCAACCCGGACTACCATGGCGTTTATCTGCCGATTCGCTGTGTTGTATACAGACACATTTAGGACCAAAATGACCAGGAATGGTATTATAATAGTGGCGATAGGTACAACGATCATGTTTTCGCTCATCATGATGCTACCGTTCTGCCGATCGATAGCCCTCCCCTGCTCGCAGATGATCAACTCTGGGTTGTAAGCGTACTTTCCCCAACCTTGGAACAGACCGATAGAAATTGGAATCACCGGGATTATCCAGATGAGAGCTATAAAAACCACTCTGGTTTTTGTAATGTCACCATCATACGTCAAAGGCGACTTAACGATCGCTTGGTATCTATTATAAGACACTGCCACCAAGTGAAGAACCGTGTTGGTGTAGAAGTATCTCACAAAGAATGGGTTGAGGTAACACATTGTTTGGCCATACAACCAACGTTCTTGTGCTATGCTTTTGATGCGGAATGAGTTAACAAGGATTAACAGCAGAAAGTCTGATAAAGCGAGACTGGCCAGTAAAACATATCGCATCTCATGAAATCTTGATTCCAAGATGATCACCACTATGACCAATATATTACCAGGAAGACCGATCATGTCGTACATTGCGTGGAACCCTGCTATCACTTGTGGGAAACCCATGGCTGAAATCGCCGGTAAGTGAAGTACTTTGCTTGAACGCGAGAGTAAAGTAACCTTAAATGAGGTTCAATTGATGTACTTTTACCGCGGACTTGAATATCATTAAAGTTTTTCTTGGACAATATACGCAATATATTCCAAAGATTGTAATAACTGTAACTTATAAAAGATATCATGAGAATGTAACCTATGTAAAATTATCTAAAATTTCCTAAAGCCTTGTTTCGTTTCTTTTCCATTTTTTTCCTGAGAAAAATACAGTATTTTCAATTCGGCGTGACTTAGGTAAAAAAACATTTTTCAAAGAAAGTAAAACAAAGCATTTAATTACTTCAAACCATCAGATGCGTGCAATAGCCGCACATTTCCCGATATATCTGCACGGACTAGGCTATAGAAGCTAAAAGCGCCTTATTATCCTTGGGAATCCTGGGTGTTTGTGATATATGCCTCATTTCTTTCTATTTTATACTTGATTACTTTTTCTGCAGTTTTATTTGGGTGAAAATTTCAGGTCATGACCAGTCATGTTTTGTTCTATTGAAATTCTTTTTATTTGAGAAAAATTGTAAAGTAACTAAGATCTGGAAAATTCATCATTACGCTGTCCTATTTTGAGGTTCGCTTCTGAATATTGTTTCTCTGTATGTTTCTATGATGCACGAATTTCATCGATGACAAATATTAAATATAGGCTGGAAAACTATTTTAATTTGAGTGAACAACAAAACGACAAAAAACA